ATTTAATTTATATTATACATGTTATATAGCTAAGAATAATACAACATGAAAAATCAAGGTAGGAAAGAATACCCATCACCTGCTCAATGCTGTCTGTACTATGCATTAACTTTGCACAGGCCACTGGAAACTTAAACTTGTCAGTCCAGATTTAGTAAAGTAAAACCTAAATCCTCGGAACTCATGCAATTTAAATTTCAAGAGACTATTTGGCTGTTGTTTTATGGCACTTTCATCTTAACAAACTTCCATTTCAAAAGGCTTTTCTCACTAAGGCTTATTCAACAGGGTCTTGAAGTTATTGAGTCAACCAACCTGAAGTACTTCACCAAGGAGATGACTGCTGAGTTCTATGCACTGAAGGGAATGTTCTTGGCCCAGATCAACAAGTGAGTATGAGACTGGAAGAGGCACTAGCACACTGAGCAAAATGCACCTCAAGTATTTCAACACAGTATTTGAGTAGAAAAGTTGTTGCATATGTTTAGATCAGCCTAAAATTTGTCACAATTGTAAGGAAGTAAAAGTATCTGTGAGAGTTCCTGTGCAGTTTGAACATGGAATGATTGGTCATATAATTACATTTTATTGTAGGAAAGAACTAGTTAAAGCAAACATTGCGCAGTTCTTTTTTTAACAGTTTTCTATTTCAAGGGCTGAGATGGGAAGAGTCAAGGATAATAGGTTTGTCCAAAGCTTTGCAGGTTATGAGACATTTTGTTTTCTTCCCTTGTTCTGTGAGTATTTAGACAAACTGATGTCTTAGTGTCTTGACAGAAGGAGGTTGTTCTTAATGTCATTATCACATATAAAACCAAGGAAAAAAAGTTAATTCTGTGAGCTTACAGCTGCTTAAACAGAATTAGCTGTCCCAATCTTCTTTCTCTCCTTCCTGTTTCATTGGCATTGACTATGTCCCTTCAATAGCTACAGCTGATCAAGGCAGAGGAAGATGTGTAGTGCTGTAGATCAGTGTGCTGTGACAAATCTGGTGTGTGATGCAATGTGGAAGTGGAATATTTATGTCCGATAACTGAATTGACAAGGCTGATGTGGTGAGATGGAGATATCCTGCACTGCAGCAATTAAAGACCTCACCTTGCTTCCACACTGCTCCTTTTGTAATGCTTTGGCTTTATACTGACAGGCATTTGACTGTTTTGAGGAAGAATGTCTCTTTAATTCAGTAAGCAATTATGTCCTGGGTTGCAGTGTGGGGGTATCCAATGGTGTGTATTCTTGTCTCCACAAGCTGTTAAAGCAGGTGGGGCAGTGATCGGTATCACCTTGTCCCTGATGGCTCCTCAGGGGCTGTCTCTGATTAACGGGCTGTCAGGGACCCATGGTGACACATCCCCCCAGTGGTCGTTATCACCTTGTCCCATGGTGAGGTGACTCACCCCAGGGGTGGGGAGCCAGACACGCTCACAGGGATATAAGCTGGGTTTGGACCAGCACAGAGCCCTTTGCCTGCTGGATTCCCAGAGGACAAGAGCTGCCACTGGACCTTCGGGAGAGGCCCGGATCAGCG